GGTGTGGAGTCGGGAATGCAGTGTGTCTGTGCAGCCCTAGATCTCCGGGGCGTCGCCCTGCCGCCTGCCCCCTAACATGCCCTAGCTCTGGAGCGACGTGGCTGCCGAGAAGAGGTGAAGAGGTACCGCTCCCGCTGGAGCGCCAGGGGACTAATCACGCCTGTACTTGGTCATCGGCGCATCCACGGAGCGCCAATTCCAGGCATGTTGCGTGGAATCAAACAGCAGGAAGTTTCTTCGATTTTTCTGAGCCCTCTTGGTGTACCACACTCATTCCTTCACACTCCTGCAATCAGCACCAATTTTCCCTCAAAGCTCTGTGGGCTGGAGACTTCCCGGGAGCCGGTCAGTAAAGTCCATTATACACCTTGGGAAACCCGCTCCCTCTCAGCAGTTCTTCCCCTCAATCTCTTTTCACAGGCAACCTCCCGAGCTGGTCATCAAACTCAGTCGACCGCTCTAAAAAAGTTTACATCCTCCCCCAACCCCTCCACCCCCACCCTCACCCCCCCCCCCACCCCCAGCAGGAGGGGACCTGCTTTTTCTATTACCTCCACAAGTTCTTTCCCCACAGAGGACAATGTGGTAGGTGTTGAGGTCTTCTCTTTTCAGGGCTTTTTTTAGCTGGCTTGGAGACCTGTTGTAATTTCAGCCCCAGCCGTACACTTGCAGCACCGTGTTTGATCTGTGTCATTTCTCTTTATCTGAGATGATAAAATCCAAACGTGCAACTTGAGCAACAACAAAAAGAACATTTTCCTTTTTTGTACTGCACATAAGACAGAATGCTATGTACACCCTACTAAGACAAAGCAGAGTGGGTGTTTCTCTCAAGAAGTTGTTATAAATGTGAGACATTTTAAAAGAAAAAAAGAGAAAGGTCTGCTGATATATTTCCGTTGTTTAACATTCAGTCAATATATGCCAAATACTTCAGTTTCCTAAGTTATGAACCCCAAATTCAGATGTTTTTCCTGGATGGTGCAGTTTTCATAACAGGCACTGCTAATCTACAGTAAATTTTAGCTTTGCTTTGAAGATTATGTGAGGAGAGTAAAACCTTTACATTGTAAATATTTCAAGCTGTTCTTTTTAACCTATTAATCACCACTTTCTGAATGAGCATTTAATAAGCTACAACCTAAACAAACATTTGCTCTATTTAGCTGCCTCTGTGAAGAACACCAACCAGCCTTCTCCTCCATCATTAATATTCTCTTCCTGACTTGCCCACTGCAGAGTCTAATTGAAATTCACGAAGATAAAAAGCATGCCATTTAAAACCTTGCAACTAGGGAATCTAAACATCTACTTGGTGGGAACACTTCACTTCCTACTGTATTTTCCTATTTTCCATTTCCATGACTCAGTCTTCATTTAGCTCTCTATCGCTTCACCATTTATATTATTATTAAATTGTTTATATTATTATAATGGTGGTCGAACAGCTCATGGTTTCTTTCCAACCTTAATTGCTATGCTACAAAATCTCCCTTTCATGAATGTAACACATTTTTTCTAAAAATCTTCGTAGATTATTTTCATACTTATCACTATAGTCCCTTGGTTTCTAATGATGAATGATGGAATTTAGTTTTAATTGCTTTATCTCAAAATTTGTATTTATTGAAATTTGTTCTAAAAAATTAGCTTTTCCCACTAGCATCCTTAATAAATGTCTAATCTCGTTGCTATATGACCCATTTG